TAAGAGTCACTTCAGCATTTTAATGTTTTTCCTACATAAGTAGTATTTTCCTAATTACAATTATTTTTTCAATCTATTTTTAACACCAAGGAAAAAAATCCCTTTAGTAACAAAGCGAACTGGGAACTAATTTTGGCATTGCGTAACGTTATTTCTGCTACATATACCTTAGAGAAAGTTAGCAAAAAATTAGCATATGCAGTTATTGAGGCTACATTTCAGTCTTAGCATGTCATTTCAGGGATTAAGACTGGCGTGCTCTTGGATCAAACATACAAAGAGACTGACAGACGTGTAAGAGGACTGATTTAGGCTGGACACTGAAGAGGAAGGAAGGGAGGAGGGGGGAAAGGGGCGAAAACACTGAGGAGAAGAAGGAAAGGGAGGAAATACTAGGTAGGGAGAGGGAAAAGGATGGGGACACTGAAGGGGAGGGACGGGGACACTGAGAAGGGAAAGGAGACGGAGACACCGAGGCGCCAGGAAAGGGGGGCGGGAGCCTGAGCAACAGACCCAAACCTGGCTGACACAACGTCCACTGACACGGATCAGCGGTAGGAAAATTGTAACTTTTCAGGTGTGTTCTGGAAGTTTCTCACGAGTTATGGACAGCAAAGGTCGCCGCTAAATATATACCTCACTCTTCTACGATCCGCTCTCTGGTACAGTATTAATGTTATATAATAATGGGATTTAATGCGTCACGTGAACATGAACTAAGGTACTATGCTATTCCAGGGTACAAATCGCAGGGCATACCGATGTTGGTCACGTGATATTCGCATACCAGTAAGACATGTCGACCACATAGAGAAAATGGATATATGTCAGCTATGTTGCAAGGCATTGCTAGCTAAATTTTGTACCATATTTAAGTTTTTATGTGTCGCTATGGGAAATAATCTCAGAGTTCAATGTAATCAATGTGAAAAAACAATAATAACAATGCACAAGATCCAATAATTTCAAATGAATGTTACTGATACTCCAAACAACATTATCTTACGTGGCTACGATGGAGATGCCTCCAATTTTTTTTTTTCAAACAAGAGATTATTCCACTCTACAGAAAAAAGAAAACAATGCCTTCTAGTTTTGCTTCAATTTCTCAAACCAAGTTTTTTTCGACTGTAGAGTAAAATGCAGTTTACACCGCGGATAAAAGAGACCAAAATAATAATATCAACAGAACAGTGCTTGGCGTCTTGAAACCATGAGCATAGTGATTTTTTTGTCTATTGATGTATTGACGTCTGTTAATGCGCGCACACACACGTGTGTGTGTGTGTGTGTGTGTGTGTGTGTGTGTGTGTGTGTGTGTGTGTGTGTGTGTGTGTGTGTGTGTGTGTGTGTGTGTGTGTGTGTGTGAGAGAGAGAGAGAGAGAGAGAGAGAGAGAGAGAGAGAGAGAGAGAGAGAGAGAGAGAGAGAGAGAGAGAGAGAGAGAGAGAGAGAGAGAGGGGAGGGAGAGAGAGAGGGGGAGGGGAGGAGAGAGAGGGAGAGAGGGCGAGAGAGAGAGAGAGAGAGGGAAAGGGAGAGAGAGAGAGAGTGTAAGCCCCTGCGAAATCCCATGAAAAGGATCCAGCGAGGTCCGCCTTGTCCCGACCTTCACCCTGGAGCTTAAAGGTCCTACTCGAGGAACAAAGCAGGTATTATCCTTCGAAGTGAAACAAATTACTTACGGTCTCACTTGAGTACGCGCTCATTAGCATAAGGAAAGACACGGGAATAAGTGTGTGTGTGTGTGTGTGTGTGTGTGTGTGTGTGTGTGTGTGTGTTGTGTGTGTGTGTGTGTGTGTGTGTGTGTGTGTGTGTGTGTAGAGAGAGAGAGAGAGAGAGAGAGAGAGAGAGAGAGAGAGAGAGAGAGAGAGAGAGAGAGAGAGAGAGAGAGAGAGGGAGAGAGAGAGAAGAGAGAGAGAGAGAGAGAGAGAGAGAAGAGAGAGAGAGAGAGAGAGAGAGAGAGAGAGAGAGAGAGAGAGAGAGAGAGAGAGACGGGGGGGGGCAGAAAAAGGGAGATAAGAAAAGAGAAGACAGGAGGAGAGGAGAAAGAAAAAAGAGCAGATTGAAGCGAATCAAGTATCTTTTTCATTCTATCTCTCTACCTTTCCTTCGCTCTCCTTTCCTACCTCTTCTCTTTCCCTCTCCCTCTCCCTCCTCCACTCCCAGTCCTCTCTCTCCTCTCCTCCTTCCTCCACTTCCACTCCAATTTCCCTGTTCCTTTCTCCTTTTCCTCCTCCTCCATTTCTTTCCTCCTCTCTTTCTCCATCTCCCTCTTCCTCTCCCTGTAATGTCTCCGACTAAAACGATAAGCCAATTTATGAAGAGAGAGAGAGAGAGAGAGAGAGAGAGAGAGAAGAGAGAGAGAGAGAGAGAGAGAGAGAGAGAGAGAGAGAGAGAGAGAGAGAGAGAGAGAGAGAGAGAGAGAGAGAGAGAGAGAGAAAGGGAGAGAAGAGAGGGAGAAGGGAGAAGGGGAGAGGGGAGAGGGAGAGGAGGGAGAGGGAGAGGGCGAGAGAGGAGAGAGGGAGAGGGCGAGAGAGGGAGAGGGAGAGACGAAGAGAGGGAGAGGAGAGGGAGAGGGCGAGAGAGGGAGAGGCGAGAGAGAGAGAGA